AGGCGGAGGCGGCGCGGTGGCCGCGGCGCCTGCACCGGCGGCGGCGGCGCCCTCCGAAGCGTCTGGTGCTGCGGCGCGCGCGGGGCTGCTGCGCGTCGCAGCAGCAGACGCCGCCCTGCCATGCCCGCGGCAGCTGCAGCGCGCGCGGCGGCGCCTCGCGGGCGGGCGGCTGCGGCTCGTGACTGCGCAGTGGCTGGTCGACGTTACTGCCGACGCGGATGCGCGGGTGGCCGTGGCAGCGGGATTGCGGCCTGAGGGCGCATACGTGCCGCAAGTAGTTGGCTCGCGACGCCCGGGGCGCTCCAGCAGCAGCGGCGGGGACGACGGCGGTGGGCGACCGCTGCAGGCAGGGGCGGGCGGCGCGGCGCCAGAGGGCGACGGCAGCCGGCAGCCGTGGGGCCTGGACGTGGCGCTGTGGCCGTGGTCCCTTGTCGGGCTGGATGGCGCGCCGGGAGGGGACGCGGGGGCGACAGAAGGCACGTCGGCTTCCGATGGCGAGGGCAGCCGAGGGGCCGCCGACGGCGGCGGCGGCGGCGGCGGCGAGGGCGGCAGCAGGGGGGCGCGCGCGCGCGGGGCGGTTGGCAAGGCGGCGGCCGGGGGCGCGGCGGCGGCGCCCAAGAAGGCCGCGGCGCCGCGGCGGCGGGCGTTGAAGGTTTCAGCCCCGCAAGTTGAGGTCAAGGAGAAGCCCGGCGGCGGTGGAGCGCCGGCGGCGGCGGCGGCCGCGGCCGCGGCAGGAGGGGCGCGGGCCGCAGGGCTGGTTGCAGTGGGGGTGGTGAAGGAGGAGCAGCCGGAGGCCGGCGGGCGTGTGCCGCTGGCCGCTGCGCCACGCGCAAAGAGGGCCGTGGCGGGCGGCGGGGCCCACCGCGGCCGCCGGCGCGGCGGCGACGGCGGCAATGGCGATGGCGATGGCGGCAACGGCGGCGACGACGGCGGAATCCTGGGAATGTGGGAGGCTGGAGAGGAGGGCTTTGGTGCAGCCGGCCTGCCCCTGCACGCCAACGAACCTGGCAGTGCGGGCAAGCGCAGGCGCGCGAGCCCCGGCGCAAGGGGCAGGGCTGGGGGCAGCAAGCGGCGCGCGGCGCAGGCTGACGACTTCATAAGCCTGCTGGCGGGCGAGGAGAGCGGCGGAGACGCGGAGGGCGGGGCTGCCGCGGGGCTCGGCGCTGCTGCGGGTGCAGCGGCGCCGCTGTCGCCTTTGGCGTCCGCGGCCGAGTCGGCGCCGAAACGCCGGGTGCCGGGGGCAACGCAGCCTTTCCAGCCATTGGACAACGGCGCAGCAGCCGCCAGCGCTGGCGCGAGAGCCGGCGCGCGCGCGCCGTCTGAGAGCGGCGGCGCTGGAGCGTCGCAGGCGCCGCCGGGCGGCGCGGCGGCCCCAGCTGCGGGCGCACGCAAGCGGATGGGCTACCTCGCACGCATCAAGGCAAAGCTGGCGGCAGAGGC